AAGAGTCTAACTGACATTTGGGAGCCATAATGACGGCCTAAAAACCCAACACAAACGAAAGAGAGTGAATGTAAACAAAGCTTTCTTCCACTTGTAGTGACACGTGAAGACTTAAAAAGAAAATAATAATATATTTATGGGAAATGGCGTCATGATCACGAAATGCCGGACGTTGTAAACCGAGGACCACCCGTAGCTGCAGCCGTCTTTGTAGCCAAAATAATTATGGTTTATATGTATTACGTCCATTGACGGCAATGTCATCATACTGTAGCAGGGTGACATCAAATGTCAGGTGGTATTTTCCTCATTGTTGACGACTGGACAAAGGCATGTGCAACATTCTTTCTATGTCTGGTTACAAAGGGAAGTCTGCTTCAAGCAAGTCACTGCAGTTTCTGCAGTGTCAGTTACTAAGGCAAAGCTGAGTGAAGGCATGAGCACCATGGGGCCAGAGGGGTGTTTTTTTTTTTTTTTTTTTCTTCGACTGATTTTCAGGTGACTGCTTACTGTCAGCAGGACTTCTGGTAAAAAGGGGTTTAAAAGAATCAGTCAGATAAAGTAGGCAGGGGGTGGATTATTCTTCATCCCAGCTCCTCCTCATCCCAGCTGATTTTTAATCTCCTTTTTCCCCCCATACAACTCCCGACTCCACCGTTGGCTCTGTGGAGACACTTGTCCCGCATACTTATCCCAGCCTTCCCCCTCAGTGAACCATTTTCTCTGACCTCCTTTCCACCCCTTCTCCCTCTCAGTCTGTGTCGACCTTTGCAGATGTCATTCTCCTGTTACATCCTGTTTTCTTGGGTTTAGGACTTCTCTTTCACCGTCGCTCTTTTTGTTTGTACTTACCTCTCCCGCGTGTTGTGTCTTTTCCTTCGTTCATCTGTCGCTCATCTGTTGTCAGGTTTTGACAAACACGCTTTCCGTCATGACTTCCGTCTTAACGGTTGGTGAAACAGTAGATGAGCCTCTAATGGGGAGAGCTTTTTTTTTTTTTAATCTTACGTATGTGTGGAAGATGTAGTAGATCAGATGCAATCAGACATGTTGTTGGACAACATACTGATCTGGTCACGTGACGAGCGTGTTCTTGTAAATGTACTCTGTTTAAAGTACTGGGAGATTGTTGTGTTTGTGGCCTCGGCCTCATGCAGCTCGCAAAAACATTCACATAAACAAAAAACTAAAACTAACTTTTTAAAAAAAATAATTTGATTAGTACTAGTACTAGTCTTTCAGTACTAACTACTGAAATGCTTAACATGATAAACACATATATGATATATGTATCATATGTATGTGTATATATATATATATTCATATATACACACATACATAAATATAAATTAAATTAAAAAACATAAAGATACAGGCCACACACCTACATACAAACATACATTTGGCGTTATGGAAAATAATATATATATAAATATGACGAAAAAGCCAAAATAGAAAGACAAAGTAATTATAATAAAATCCACGATTAAAACACACATACAAAAATAAATAAACCATAAATGTTGAAATTCTGCAAAATGGATGGAAACTAAAAATGTTAAGAGAAAACAAAAAACAAATACATTTTACAGTTTGTTTGGGTTTTTTATATATATATTTTATATATTTATATTTTTTTATACCACAAAGTCGTTACTGCACATCAAAATAAAATCAAGACTTTTTCTCAAGGTTGTTTTGAATTTTTCTTTTACCAGTCCAAGTGAATAGGTTAGCTTTTCTTTCATGAAATTATCATTATCATTATTATCATATTATTATTATTATAATATTATTTTCATAAGCTTATGTGCTGTGTATGCAGAGTGTATGGACTGACTAGTGTTTCCTGCAGGTTCTTTAAAATTTTTCTTTTTCTTTTCACAAAGGTGACTTCATTGTTATTGTTTTTTTGTTTTGTTTTTTTTAATCCTACATTATGGCCTTCTCATTATTATTCTTATTCTTGGTACCGTTGATGATTGATGCTGTGGCAACGATGGTATGATCATTGTACTAGAAAAGATGCTAGCATTGACGTAAGTGTCTGTGAAACCTTCTTTTAACAACCAATGGCAATTATAAGTGACTACTCCACGGTTCAAAGCGCTGACAGATTCATGTAAAAACGGAGCAGGAGATGCTAAATACATGCAGATGGGATAAAGTTGGTCTCCAAACATTTCTGGTGTCAGGAGATTAGGTAGATGACTGCTGCAAATGATGGTGTGTGTGTGTGTATTTAAAAGGCCTGCCAAGCCACAGCTGGAGACTTCTCAGGGAAACCTGCACCAGGGAAAACAAACAGTGATGGGGATTGAGAGAAACACAGGTGGATGATATGAGATAGAGGTTACGTAAGGGCGGAAAAAGTTCAAGTGAATCTTGCGTTTCCACAAAATATGTTCCGTTTGTTTTGTTTTTTCTTCTTCTTTGTCTGTAGGTCTATACAGTGGGAAAACCGAAACAATTTTCCCCATAGGAATCAATGTAAAATGGATTCATCCATTCCTGGACCCCAGGTGATTTTGCTTATTCAAACATTTCAACAGTATTTTGTGCACAAGTTCATCCACGAAAACAATAAAAATAATTAAGTCTAACAACAAGAGATGAACACAACTGAACAAAGAATAAAGTTATAAATTTCAAAGGCCATTTTATTCATCCTTACTGGCGCTGAGGAGTCGTGATTGCGCAACGTTCGCTTCGCTTTCTCACAAATTATCGTCTCGGAAATATTATCGCCGCCCAACTGCTTTTCGTTGATCCAAATCAGTAGCAACTTTTCCACTTCTTCTACTGTCTTAGATCTTTGCTTGGTGATCACAGTCACTCCTTTGACAACCTTAGCTTCTTTTATTGCTTCCTTGTTCTTAATGATGGTACAAATCGACGACTTTGCTAAGCCGTACCGTAAAGCCGGATCGGAAACACGAACGCATAACCGTTCTTCACTTCTATTGTTGTTCTCACTACCTTTCTTTACCATGGTGATTTAGCTCTTAGTTCTTAGCGTGTATATCCCGACTCACGCCACACACTCAGTCACTCATTGATCACCTGCTGTTTGCGTGATATTGTTAGCTTGTTCGGCAACGGAGTTATGGTACAACAATTGGTATATGGTAGATACTATATGAAACATACAGTAAAAAAACCAGTGTGATAGTTCAGGGTTGTTTGTGCTGGGGAGCTACTATTCAAACGACCACACTAGAGTGATCTACCTACATATTTACTGATGTAAATTTGCAGGTCGGCTCTATGGCACAGTAGGATTCAGTTCTGCACACCATACTAGTAATAATAATAATAACACATTTGAATCCCACACTTGGAAAATTCTTGTTTAAACAGCTGATCAGCTGCAACAGGCTGCCCGTTACAGGCACCATGTATGTGCTTCCTCTGGGAATCGAACCCTTCCGAGGCTAAACACTACACTATGGAACCTTTTTTTTTTATTTTATTTTAATTGCTCGTGATTTACCAGCTAGGAAATAAAAATTTGCAAAATTAGCACACAAAAAAAAACAACTCATGTAATTTGAGATTCCCAGCATGCAACACATAATCTAACAACACTTATATGATTTGACATAGGGGAGTCGGTTGTTTACATGAGCCAGAGTCACAGACGGCCTGTGGAGGTGTCTGTAACAACGAGGGTAAACTATGTCATGGGTAAAACAGTGACCCTGCAGGAACTTAAATTTGTTTATAAAAAAAAAAAAGAATTTGAATATATGTTTAACAGTCGGACTCAGAGGCAATTTCTCTGTCCTTGGTGTGGGGTTCACCTCCTGGGTAAGTTCGAATCCCGGTTAGGAAGGTTCAGGGGGGTTGGTACGGTGCAGTGTGATTTGGGTGGCGGTCGTGGAGACTGCTGCCCCCGCGACCCGGTAACGGATAAGCGGATGAAAATGGATGGATGGATGGATGGATACTTTACTGTATTGAAGGTTGTAATTGCTCAGCAATGCCGATCAAGTCGTCCACAAGTTCTAGCGAGACCTTACTTGTAATTAAATACCTTGATCGGACTTGATCACACAAGTGAGACAAACAAGAACCAAATGCGGGTTCAACAAGCAAATGAGTTGATTTGGTGAAGTTAGTTCAAGCAAATGAGTTGATTTGGTGAAGTTGATAAGTTTCTAAGGTAAAACTGTTCATTTCCCCTGGGTTGGCTAAAATAACAGGCAGCTTCCCAACAACGTTGCCTCAGGGCTCTGGGTCTCCATGCACCGTCTTTGGTATGCTGTTTGACACTCCTTTTATAGGTAATGGACCTGGGTGAGTGGAGGCCTGTGCAGAGTCTGGAAATAAACATCCAAACTCTGCATCGTTCTGCCTTCATAAGGCAATGTCCAACTGTAACTAATGGCACAAAGTTTAAATTAAATGATGGTATGATTTGTTTTTTGTTTTGTGTTTTTTTGAAGTGGAAAATATGTCACAGTAGAAGCGATGAACTGTTTGTACGTCGGTGTGAGATGTTTTCAAATGACATTTTCTAAGACTCCTACTTCCTCCTTTATTCCCGTTTGAGATTTATAAGAATAGCTTGGTGTGATGAAATAAATTCAGTTTAAGTGATATCTTGTTGACAAAAAAAAGTGCCAAAAATAATAATGATAAATTAGAATTCATGCGAAATGTAACCAGAATTTAATACATCCAAAATAATAGGTCATAAAATTCTCCTTCCTTCCCTGTTTTTTTTCAAACTACCTTTAACTAGAAACTTAAATGAAGATTATATGACAGTGTGCCTGCATTGGTTGGTTGTCTTTGAGAAGCACTGGTTGACATTATCCTCACCCGGGGGGGTGGTGTTTTAAGAAAACATCCAGGCTGGAGCTGAGCCAGTAACGGAAAATCTTTACTATGTACATGTGGTTCTTAAACAGTTCCGTAAACAAAGTAATCTGAAATAGTGTGTGTTTCTAATGGGGTTGTTTTTTTTTCTTCCCTTTTTCCTGTTTACTTGCTAGTGCTAAGATGATGGAGTAAGACGTCGGTGTCCAAAAAGAAAGCTCCAGGCAAAGAAACTAGAAAGTCCTATCGACGGAACAAAATCCAAGTCACGTCATGGATGGAATAGAGACCTTGCAGAGCTCGACCGCAGAAACCAAGGCTGAGCGGATTGCCCGCTACAAGGCGGAAAGGAGGAGAGAGCTCGCCGAACGTTATGGCAACATGGAAGAATACACCTCCAAGTACGTTCGCAGGGACAGAAAAGCCGACGACGCGTCAGAAACGGTCCCTTCCACTACCAAAGATAACGGAACAGAGCCGACGTACAGCAGGAGAGGTGTAAGGAACAACGCGGAGCAAAATGAGGATGAGACTAAACCAGAGAAAGAGGCCACGACTCACGTCGGAGCAGAGTCATCATCATCGATACTGGAGAATGTCTCCGCGGTGAAGACGTCCTATCAATGCAGGTGAGATTGTTGACATTTTGTTTTATATTTTTTTCCAAATCTTCATTGCAGGCACTGGTGAAACTGGCTCCGCTATACAGTGATGGATGCCATGGGTGGGCAGGTGGTCTGCTACCCTCCTGACCTGTCTGAAAATGGGTTCCATTAAGTCTGGGATTCTCAGGGAGTTGTGTGAAGCCCTAAGGGGCAACTAGCAGCGACCTGAATACAAGCCGCAGCCACGAAATTTAAAAAGAAAAAAATAATTGTACTCACCCACTGGATTTAAAAAGAAAAAAATAATTGTAACTATATGGGCCGCACTTCTCTATAAGCCACAGGTGTCCACGTTGTAACATGGGATATTTAAAAAGAAAGATTTTAATTCACTTTTAATCAAATAAATGCTTTTTTTTTCCCCGAACAGTGCCTGTAACGCGGCTAACACGTTAGCTCTTTCCTGCTTCGGCAGAGAGGGGAGACTTAGTGATCTGCTCCAGGGCTGAAGCTAACATTAGCTAGCTAAGGGCTAACTCCCTTCCCTTTGTGCATGTCCGCAGCAGAGGTAAAAACAGAAACAGGGAAGTTGGGGTCTTTATTATCAGCCACACCGACCACAACAGAACACAAACAGTGTTTTAACAGCTCCTCTATAACCAACTCACGTTTCAATATGACAGGGCTCAAACTGCTATTAACTTTAGCTACCGACAGACATATGCTACTAGTATAACACACAGTAGCCTCTAGCGGTATGAACTTCGTTAGCTCGTAAAGATCCATAAATTAGCCACATTATTATTCAAACAGCAGAGTTCAAATCGTGTGAAAAAAGAAGCGGCTTATAGACCGGAAATTACAGTAAGTAAAATCTGAATTAAATTAAGTATATTAAGTTAATATGATTAATATAAACCGATTGTGAAAACATGACATAACCTTCCAAGGTTGAGAGTGGTTGTGAAGGTTAACCATAGTGTCACAAAATCTACTTGAAAATTTTGTGCTGTAATATGCAAGACAAAAGGTGATGAACTGAAATTTTAACATAATTCCCAGCAGATTCTGGAGTTGGTATACATATGTTGTACTCGGAAAGAGAGGGGTCACCAACTATTTTTGTCAGAGGGCCAAAATGTTTCTGGACAGACACTTTCGGCGCCAGACGCTCAAAAAAACATTACTATTTGATAATGTCATTTACTCGCTAGCCATAGTAGACATTTCCATGGGCGGGATTCAGCCCACGGGCCACCAGTTGATAATCACTGCTATAGATTTTAAAGGTATTTGTATTTAGATCTAGATAATATAGTTATTTGGCTCATTGGCCCAGAGGCAATGTCATTGGTGTGGAACTCCAGGGTTCACCTCCTGGGCAAGTTCGAATCCCAGTTAGGGCGGTTGGTACCTTCCAGTGGACTCACCACCTGCAGGGAGGTTCAGGGGGGTTGGTACGGTGCAGTGTGATTTGGGTGGTGGTCATAGAGACTGCTGCCCCCGTGACCCAGTAACGGATAAGTGGACGAAGATGGATGGATGGATGATATAGTTAGAAACTATCTCAAATATGAAGAATGTTCTGGAAGAAAACCATCATCTAAACTATCAGTAAATAAACTGGCCCAGTGCATCACATTTCTACATGTGAGGGGGGAAAAAAAGCACATTCGGTTACAGATGTCAAAACAACTGCTAACATTACCAAAATGAGTAAAGTGAGCAAAGCTCTGCAACAGTTATTTTGCCATGCTATGCCAGGCAGCGATAACAACCACTCCGGCCTGGTTTGGTTCACACCGTAGTTGGACAGGGGGTCGTGCATGTCTAACACGAGCCGGTCTCACCTGGATCCATTTTCTTTCATCGTTGGCGGATTGTGCTCCGAGGAGTTAAAGTGAAATAAGTTAAATAAGTGAGACGTGTCCTGTCAGGATTCCGGGGATGTACGAGATGTAATCAAGCTGTGTACTCCGCAGTGTCCACATAGCCAGACGTGTCTGCTCTTGACTAAAGAGCCCGAGGGGAAAGACAAGACAGTGCAGAGAAATTGAGGCTTGTGAAGGTTGGATTGTCTTCATCTGCCAAATATTCTTTTTTTTTTTTTTTTACCCTCTACTTTATGAAGCAACATCAGCTGAAAGGTGTAATTAAGTGTTGGATCAGTTGATTTATATGTTTACATAAGATATTTTTATAGTTGAAGCAGGAAATAAAGATGGAGTAGGACAAAGGTTCACAACCCCTGGTCCGGGGACCAGTGGTGGTCCGTAGGTCATTTAGTACCGGGCTGCAGTCGGACACAGTGGAAAATTTTTTGAATTTACTTCATTCAAAAAGAATCCAGTCATATCCCTTGACTGACAGAATAAAGTCTGAAAGATGTTTTATTTTGAAAATATTGAGACTATTGGTTTGAGTCTGACTGATTTATTTTGATAATCTGCCAAGTCAATTCCATTAAACAGAATTTCCTCAGCATCGTGTATCTGTTAATAATACATTTTATGAGGACAACACCTCAGTTGTAATTTTTAGTTTTATGTTTAATTGGTCATTTAGCAAAATTATTGTTATGATTAAATTAACTTCAGACTTCCGTGCGGTTACAGTAGTGGGTTCTGACTTTTCCCCTTTTTTTTTTTTTTTTTTTAACATGGAGAAAGTTGAAAATCAAAGGTAACCCTTTTAAGCAAATGTCCGCAAACTTTTTTTTTAAACTGATTATTAGGTTGTGGGGAATAAACACAATAAGAGAAAATGATGACACTGACTGTATTTTATTTACTTTTTTTAGAGCCACATTGTGAGCCTTAGTTGATCTTCTTGAAAGGAGCCAAAAAAACAAAACAAAATGTGCCAAAAATATTGCGACTCCTGATTATCTACTTGTCACAGAAGGAAACAGCTGTAAGACAAAAGTACTTCAACAACAAGTGGCAGTAGATTATCACATCCTCATGTCATCATCAGTTACTGACAGTTTGTTTTTTTTTTACTTGGTTACATCTTACTTCACTGTTATTTGAGGTCTTTTTTTTTACTATTTTATAGTGTTTCATATTTGCAGTCATGTAGTATTTGTTTTGTTGAAGTAATGGATAATGTCATTAGAATTATTTGAAACAGAGAGTGAATTGTGATTATTTAGTAAATGAATACAGAATTTAACAAAAAATATATAGTATATAAGGATTCCTGTGATATAAAATAAAATGAGGTTTTAATTATGAGTTCTTACCTACGACACAGACGATACAGTAGCGTCTAATGGTGGCATCTGTGGAGGAGGACGGGGAGGAAGGGAGGGAAGAGAGTTGGCCCGTACGTAGACACTTGATTCTGTAGCGTACCTGACACGTACACTATATAACTTACATAAACTTAGAATTAACTTCCTTTTTTTTTTTTACTTCCTTTTTTTGTGCTATTTTCCATTTGTATTCTTTCTTTAGGGGCACCGTGCTCATATTTATCGACAATTTCATTGTTTTATTTCCATGGTCATCGTGCGTTTCTTCTTCTCACCACCATCCTTACCTCTCACTCTCTTAGGACTCATCAGTAATATGGAGGATAATGCACAAAATAGAGAGAAAATCACGTAGATAACGCAAACACAATACGGAAGACTCGCGAGAGATGCGTACGGAAGTGGACGAACACGTGAAGTGAACGAGTGAGGCGGCGTGGGCTGCTCCGAGTGCTCGGCCACCTAGCGTCGGCGTCTGTAAGCGTGCTCGTATCTGAAATCTTTACTCGTATCTTGAAGCAAAAATTTGCACAAAGGCTGGCTCGTATCTCGGAATACTTGTATGTCGGGACTCTCGTATATATATGTATGTATGTATGTATGTATATATATGTGTATATATATATATATATGTATATGTATATATATATGTATATATGTGTATATGTATATATGTATGTATATGTGTATATGTATATATATATATGTATAAATGTGTGTGTGTATATATATGGGCATATGTATATATGTGTATGTATATGGGCATATATATGTGTATATATGTATATGTATATATATGTGTATATGCATATATATGTATATTTGTGTGCGTGTGTATATATGTAGTGAAACCTTTATATATATAAATATTTGTATATATATATATATATATATATAGAGAGAGAGAGAGAGAGAGAGAGAGAGAATATATTCGTTGTCTTTTGACAAAGTTAAGACATATATCAAAGCAAAAAAACATTTTACGGGTAAAACGTTGTTTTGCAGACAGCATTAAAGGAAGGGAAACCCAGGGCGAAGTGAGTCACAGGTAAAAACATATGGAATGCATTTTTAACTACAGACGGTACAGGAATGGGTTGAACCATCGATGTGTTTGTCCGCCTTTCTTGTCACGTCGACAACAACAACAACATCTCCTCAGTTGGGTTGCGTCATCTCCGTCTGTGTGTCAAGGCTGTCATCTGTGCAGTGTGGTGGGCAACTGTAGAGGCTGGTGATAAGAGCGTCACTTGGTCTCCTTGAAGCTGCTGGTAGTCTGTGGGCCGTTCCAGATGCAGTGTTAAGGGAACTGGAATGCAGCTGTTCCAGTGATAATGAAAATGAGTCGTTGCAACCGTTCTCACATTCTTCACCGGTTCCTTGTTTTTAAATGAAACCATTTGAAGTGGAGGCTATCTGCGGGCGAACTTCCATTTCCATTTCCAGTCTCGGATTTGCACGTGTTGAGTATATATTTAAACATATATTGACAGTTTTCTATGCAAGAATTGATTGATTAATCACAGGTTTACAAATGACCTTGATGACAGGTGTGTTTTTGTGCTGCTTTAGATCATTTACAGTCTATGCCAGTCATTGGTTTTAAGGCAGAGTCCTATAGGAGCATAAAGGTATTAACCGTGCTGCAGTACAGCTGGCTGCATTTTGCCCCAGCTGGTGTTATTTTTATGGGGTACTTTACAGTATCTGTGATCTGTTCTAGAGATGCACAGATTGCAATTTATTCAACTGATTTCTTATTTCTATTTTTTTTTAAGTGTAAGTGTAACTCACCGATATAGATTTTTGCCGTTTACAGTTATATCAATTGCGGGGGTGTCCAAAAATTAACTGGGACAAAGATGCGGGCCAAACTTAATATTTATTAAGAAAACTGGGACAAAGATGCGGGCCCGGGGCATAGGGGCATAGAAGGGTAGATCTAGAATAGTATTTATGTTTTCTTCTGAAACTTAGCATTAGCGAAAATTCTACGGTGAATTTTTTCATATGGGAACAAACTTTAGTTTTGCGTAAACGTCGAATCTGGACCAACCGAAGCTTAATATAATGAACGAATGAGAAATTAAATTTGAAATAAGACACATCGTTACATTTGTTTCTTATTATGTCTCTCTCTCTCTCTCTCTATCTTTAGCCTTTTGAGTTCCTTTTCTAATGTAAATCTTTTGTTACAGGCCAACAACAGCATAGCATATGCAACATATCGCATAGCATTTATCGCTAATACTTCAATTCCCGCTAATATATAGTGGCTATATAATATATAACTTTGAAGGACTTCCAAGCTAACTATGTATCAGCTCTAGCTTGCGTATGTGTGTGTTAGCTTCAACACAGCACATGCAGCAAAATGATCAGTTGCAAAACTGGCAGTACACGTAGTAACCGTGATGTCGGAAACTAGCCTATTCAGATTGGTGCTTCTGCAATCTCTTCCTTAAGATCAGTTGGCCTCTCCATTCATTTGTTGTTTCTTTCACTTTTGTAGTTATTCGTTTGAGTTAGTTAGTACGTATAGGGGCATAGACAGGAAGGGTAGATCTAGAATAGTATTTATGTTTTCTTCTAGAACTTAGCATTAGCATTAGCGACAGTGTTGCAAAAGCATGCAGCCTCGGGTTCTTGTGCGTAAACACTGACTGTTTACGCGTTGCTTGTGAATATGGTGAACCCAAACAAGTGAGACGCACACACACACACACACCCACCCACGAGTGTGAGCTTCACTTTATTGACCACCTTCTGATATCAAGGCCAAAAAGAGAGACCAAAAAAGGCAAAGAGTTTCTGAGCCATTACAGCTCATTAAAAAAATGCCAGAATGGGTCCAGACAAGCTCTCTCTCTCTCTCTCTCTCTCACTCTCCCTCACTCCCTCTCTCTTTCTTTGTGTCTATCGCTGTCTCCCCTTCACTGTGACCTTTGACCCCTTCCAGATGTCCACTATGATTCTCTATTGTAAGTAGAACAGACACCCCCCCATCCTGTTACATCATCCATGCTGCTGCCTGTGGGGCAGCTGCTGCCCTCATCTATATTTCATGCCTCGTTCTCTGATATGAACGTCCAACGTTTGTCGCTTTGTCATCATTATGGGACAACAAGAGCAGTAAGGCGAGGTCCGTTTCAGTGATCTGTGAACGTGGTCACGTATCGTACGTTTCCGTTACAATGTGACTGACTCGGGTTGTACTGTAATTAAATGTTATATTATTATTATTATTATTATTATTATTATTATTATTAATATTAATATTGATGTGATATTGTTTGCTCGGTTGCATCGGCCACATGAGCGTGTCGTCGACATGTGTTTGTGTGTTAAGAGACTCACCTTCACATTCATCTCTCCTTCTCCCCGACTACGTGCAATTTTTTTTTAAATGCAAATTTTGCACGTGTGCAAAGTGTTTGATATGAGAGAAGGAAGAATGCGAAAGTCTGTTTCTGCTGTCGGGTAAATGTTTTTCAAATTAAGTCTCTTAAAAACAGGGTTAAGACCTAAAATGCAAGATGGGATCGATGAAGGAAACTCACGTTTCTAGTTCTTTAAGGAGATGACTCTTTCAATTATTTCTTCTTTTTTCATCATTAAGTGGCTTTAGCTCTAGATTTTAACATAAATAAAATTCTAAAATTATAATTTTTTTTATTTTTTTTTTTATTGCGTGCCAGTTCCATAGTGTAGCTGTTAGCACCCTGCCCCCCTAGCAGAGAGTCCTGGGTTCAATTCCACATTCTTGGCACCTGTTAACAGCAGATCTTCCGTTAACAGAAGAATTTCCCAAACATGGGATCAATAAACTTCAAATTATTATTATATGAGTTAACGTGGCAGTGCGGACTCACATTCGCGATCGCTCCCTACCGTTACCGTCTTCAAAATCATCAAATAATTTGCTAGCGCGAGACGCTGTGTGACTTTCACAGTCGCTGAGTTTAACAGAAAAATGACTCATGTGAATGTAAGAAAAAAGTAAACTGTACAAAGAGGAACAACAAGGAAAACAATGGACAGCAGTGTTCCAGTGTGTGTACAAGCTTCAGGCCGTAAGAGCACTGTAAACGCATTCACTCAACTGATGCTGCTTCCTGTCCTGGCTGGCAGACGACTCATCGCTGTAAGCCAGAACTATTCTTATGATTCTGGGAAGGTCTGTCCCCACCCTCCAGCTCAGGAAGACGGAGACTATAAAACAAAGTCCTCGCTCATGGGTAGGATGTTGGGCTATAGCTGTGTTGTTTTGTTTTGTTTTTGTTTTTTTAAATTATGTTTAAAAAAAAGGCCACATTTCAAAGATACAGACAAATATTTCCATGTATAATTATTAACTTGTGGTAAAAAAGACTCCATGACAGTGGAGTTAATGCAAGGCTAATGCTATAAAATATTCATGGAGTGCTGATATTATTAATGACTCTAGAACATGTGGAATAGTATGTTACCCCTATGTAAACATACTGCTAACTAGACCTGCTCAAGCACATGACATTTTCAAAAAAATCACATTTTTTTCTGTGCTTATTTACTTAGCTTAAGCATTATGAACAAGTTGCCATTGATACTTTCATCAACCAGCTGCTACGAGCAGAAAGAACAAGGGAGAGTGCATACACCTCTAGGCCCATGATAATCACCTGTTTTGAAAAAAGCTGTACCACAGGCACCACAGTTGAGGCAAGTTTCTTTTATTTTAAAATTTAAAATTTTCACCCTCAATTTTTTTTAAATGGAGTTATTGCGTAAACTAGCATAAATCCCCTTACTAAAATTTTTAGTAGAAATTTTCTTTTTTTTTTGCAAAAAAAAAAAATTTCATTTCATTTTCACATCTAAGTGGAAGTGTAGACCCAAAAGTTTCTTTTATTTTGAAATTTTTAATTTTCATCCTCTGTGAACCCCTATTGATTTTAAAGCTCCGCAGAGGCTTTTATTTTGAAAACCATCCAACAGCCCTATAGAGGCATCTATAATTAGGAGGGAAATTGAATTTAAATTTTCAAACAATAAGCATATACACTGATTATATAATCGTCAATCAAGTAAGGAACTCTAATGCATCATTTTTAATAAAAGTTTGCTTAAAAAAAGACAGTAAATTATTATTAAATTGTCTTATTTTTGTCACAAAAAAAATTCATTTTCACATTTAAGTGGAAGTGTAGACCTAAGATAGTGTTTATTTTTTCTTCTGAAACTTAGCAATTTTTGTTCAGATAACTCACAAACCCCTAGCGCAATAACTCCTCTGCAAACTAAAATGGTTACGTTTCTGAAATGAAAAAAAAAATAAAACCCGAGCACAGGGACATTACACACATGCAGTTGGACTTTATTAAATAGCACATGACACAAAGTAAACAAACGTTTACAAAAATTGCCGTGCTAACGACGACTCGCACTCTGGTGTGCGTTACGGAAATGCATTTGCTGTATTTACACAATGTCAGAGGAACCCTGATTATTGCGGTAATTCAATTAAAAGCAGACATGTACACATAAACACGTTAGCCCGCGTCATGTTGACGAGAGTCAAACTACCGCTAATGCGTACGTGACGGATCAAAGACTCGCCGAACTTGGCGCGGAGCACGTGTTCCACAGTTCACTTACTGGACTCTGACCTCGATAAATAAGCGCTAAATCAATACAGTCAATCGGTAGAAAAACAACAAAATATTACGGTTGCCGTTTGTCTCTTGTCTAAGCTTACAGATTTATAACAAACACCTTTTAAATCTAAGAAATGCATTGAAACAGAGTAAACACTCTGTTTACTGTATTCAAATTGGGCGGCATCGGTGTGATGTCATGTCATAAATAGCTCAACAAGTAAATGTTTCTGTGGAATTCGCCGTGACTTGTTTAAACAACTAGACCAGGCATGGGCAAACTAAGGCCTGGGGGCCGGGTGCGGCCCGTTCAGCTTTTAAATGCGGCCCGTCAAACTTCTTCCAAATGATATAATTTATTTATATTATCATTATACTTCTACCTTTTCCTTGCAATACCCACGTTTCACCAATAGATGGCATAAAAAATTCATAAAAGCAATTTTAGCATTTGAGCCATTTTACATGTCATTTATCTTAGTTCACACCAACGCTCCATCTATCTGCTTCTGACCCCGCCCCCCCCTGTTCAATTTTAGGCCAATGGTGGTCCGCGAGTCAAAAAGTTAGCCTGAACTAGACTAACGAATTCCAAGTCACTGACTAGTTGTACAATAAAAAGATCGCGGAATAGATCGCGGACCTTTTGTCCTTTTAGTGTAAACAGGTTTTTTTGACACAAGACTCAGACTCGTATCAGAATTGGTCAAAGGAAATTATACTTTGTGTGAACGGTGTAAGGACAGCTGTAAAAAAAAAAAAGGATCCAGGGTCCAGTTCCTAAAACACCGGTGTGTGCGCTTCTCTGACAACATGTGCGCCTGAATGAAAAACAGGACATCCGTTGACGTGGACTTGCCACCCATGCGTCCTCTGTGGCCCCGATCTAAAGCCAAGTTAACACATGAAAAAAACAGGCCTTTTTTTTGTTTTTCCTGTTTGATACCCAAGAGCCAACCTTTGATTATTGACGCCTGATTAGCAATAGCAATATTTGTGTTACAGAAATCAAAGAAGTTCTGCTGATTACATTTTAACAGTTTACAGATGTCAATGAATTTCTAGTCAACTTGGAATTATTTCCTTTTATCACTCCGTCATTAAGCCTCCAGGATGGCTCTTGTGGATAGGAATATTCTTGGAGGTTTAAGCCAGAAGTGTCCACTCGTCACTCACTGTAGAACTGAAGAAACCTCTTGGACGGAAGAGACGAGATCTTTCAAACTTTCAAACGTTCACCTGCGCATTCTGTGGTTTAACGAGCTAGAAAACACATCAGATCTCCTGCCGTGAATTTTATCTCTATCCTTTTCCAATGTGATGTCATGGCAATGCGTAGTCAATCTTGTTTATGTGTGTCTTTTACAGTTGATGAGACGCCCGTTGACTCTTCCAAAAAGTCTGAAACATGCTCTTCTGGTTCATCCAAGTCACACTTCAAGGTATGGTACCTGTGATGTTTATTAGCTTGATTACAAATGTCACAGTTAACCTTGGCTCACTGGGGTAAACTGGTTTGTTGCATTACATTACAAATACTATGAGAACTTTTGTTCTCACTTCCTGCAGTGATTTTGATCAACTCTTACTTTTGCTGGTTTGGATGTGTTCCATATGCAGTAGATCAGCTGCTGTTGACCTCAGTTTAAATATGTCTTTCAACATTGCTCTGGAAGAGTGAACTATATAAGGCAAGGGTCCTCAACACCCGGTTCGGGGACCGGTGCTGGTCCGTAGGTGATTTGGCACCGGGTCGCTGTGGTACACGGTTAAAAAAAAAAAGTACTTCAGTTTTACTTACCGGGTCGCTATGGTACACGGTAAAAAAAAAAGTACTTTAGTTTTACTAATTTACTTCATTCAAACATAATCCAGTTATATCAATTTACTGCAGTAACAGCTGATATCGGCCGACCCGTCCTTGGTACCAAAAAGGTTGGGGACGACTGGTATAAGGGATGGGTCAATCCAATACTTCGGATCAACCTCGGAATAACCAACTATAACCCGTTAAGTCCGATTCGTAAACCCAAATTTGCTTTGAGCGAAAAGAAGATATCGGTTTTTGAGTGGTTTCGACAGATACTCCAAGTTTCAGTATCGGTATCGGACTCGAAAGAGTTGCATCGAGCCATCCCTAAACCATAGAAAAACCTGAACGTTTTTGCTACCTACGTATGTTTTTTATGCGCTTTGAATTTTCAACTCAGCACTATAAAACTATATATAAATATATATATTATAAATATATAAATATATATAAATATATATGTTATATAAATATATTATAAAAGATCAAACCACACTAATGCCTCTGTGCCAGAGCAGTGAGATATGGTTTATCCATCTTTTATAGATCTATTTGAATTTTTTTTTTCTTCATTCTCCCCCATTAATTTAACTAAAGCTCTTTCGCTGCACTGACTTTTATAACAAATTGAGCTTTTCCATAGAGACAGATGAGCTGTCCTGCACCTGGATGCATTGTTGGCCAGTGTCATGACTTGAGCTCACTCTCCGTCTATGGACGTATTAGATTAACAGTGGAACAGAGGTGTCTTCAGGGCCAGAGGTTGAACTCTGGAGACTGGAGACCTGATGACGTCCCCAGTCCTCTGGGATATATGGATGAAGTGAGCGTAATATGAGCTGCATATCAAGCGTTCCCAGGCTGCTGAGGTTTCAGAAGTTTCATGATACTGGATGTAAATAGTTGTTCTGACTTGGCCCTCACAGGCCAGGAGCAGCGCCAAGGTTAGCCAAAATGAACCCAGATGGCAGTGACTCGTTCCAACCAAAAAAAACCTGCCGGGATAAACAAGACTCCTACAAAGAAGCTCTCACACTCTGTGCCCCACTCGCCCTCTCCCCTCTTCTGTCTTTTCTTTTTACGGTGTATCTGTTTTGTGTGCTGTCCTACTCTGAAGTCGTGAGCACTGACCAGTCGCTCGCTCGGTGCCTTTACTTTGCCCTCGTTGCTCATTCGTTTGACTCCCTCAATAAATTCCTTATTTTGTAAGAACTTGCTTTGCAGACAATGTAAAAAAAAAAAAAAAAGATTATTTATGATCGTTAAAGTATCAACAAAACTCGTCTTTAATGATTTTTTTTTTTAATTAGTTTTTTTTGGTCGTCTTTAATGATTTTCTTTTTTTTAAATTAGATTTTTTTTTTTTGTTGTCTACCTCACAGCTGGAGATGTACTTGTATCCATCAGGTCAGGCCAGGCCAGGCCAGTGCTTAAGTGTTAGCTGACACTAACACAGCTGTGTGGGTTTACTCTGTATCCAGGCTTCACAAGTCCTGTTTCTACCCTTAAGAAACAAACATCTGAGGGGGAAAAAAAAGTTGGATTTTTTTTTTTTTTGTTTGTTTTTTAATTCTCTCCTACCCTGAATAACCGTACCTGATACGTTTCCCCATCTTTCTATTATTTTTCAATTGGTGTTTAGTTTAAATCCCAAATATTTAAATATAGTAACTGCAATTCTATCAAGCTTAAAAAAAATACCCTTTCATCACAGATTTTATTTGGAATGCGATGTTGCGAAATTTTTGCTATTTCGCAAAATATAGCGAAAATAAACTGAAACACATTATAAAATAATGATACACATGAAAGATTTGGCTTCGGAAAATGTAAATTCTTACATGAGCGCATCCGCGAACGATCGCCGCTAGCTTTGTTTACCTAGACGAGATCGTACACAGCGTGCTATTGGCTGATGCAATGCGTCTTGCGGTGTACTATTGGCTAATTGAGCATGCTCTTCTGTTCCTCACTGTGATTGGCTCATGGATATAATTGTGCGGGAAAGGGTAATACAGTCTAGGGAGGGTTGATAACAGTGTGGGGGAGGTCCGGAAAGGGTAAATACTAAAATAAATAACTAAAAATAAAAATAAAATAAATAAATAAAAATAAAAAATAAACTAAGTAAATAATAAAAAAAATAAAATAAATAAATAAATAATAAATAAATAGGTAAATAACTATCTCGCCTCTACTTCGCAATTTTTTTTTTTTCCCATTTCGTGTTGGGTCTTGGGACGCAACTGCTGCGATAAAAGAGGGTTCACTGTATTTTCATTCACATCCTTGCAGATACCAACTACCGGTTGTTTTTCACTGTAAGTTCATTGTGTTCAAAGGCAGTGGGTTGTATTTCTCAGGTTAACTCCGGTCCAATAAACGTCTTCACTTCAGTCACTCCTGCAACTCAACACGAGCCTGTAAATGTCTTAGCAGGAGCTTTTAAAGACTCCGTGAGTTTCTTTGTAAGTAGATGGGCGGAGCTATCATTGTTCATTTACTCACTTCCTTTTATCATTTTTTTTTTTTTTTTTTATAGACGGTATAAAACGTAGGCAGTGTTTGTTTAGGCTCATTTCATGACGGCGTCTTCTTTCTGCATACAGGACGCGGAGGAGTCTGAGGATGTGAGTGGCTGTCCACGCGTCGAAGACAAAACCAAGCTTCGGTCGACGAGCAGCGCCGAGGACAAATACTCCGACAGGTGAGCCGAATCACCTTACACAAATACGCCTGAAATAATTAGCCATAGCGTTCCTTTTAAATGTTACGCCGCTCATTTTGAGACATTATTCGCAGAACCTAAAAAGACATTGGGTCCAAAAATAACCCCAGAACAATGCACAATTACACAGCATTTAAATGGTTTGCTGGAGACGTCAGCAGTAAACCAGATAGACCTGCAGGGCTCGAACTCAGTGGATTAACCACAGAAGTAACGCCGTCTGTGTGTGTGGGTGTGGGTGTGTTTGTGTGTGTATATATGCGTGTTCCTGTGCACATGGAGTTTGAACTGTCACAGTTCCTGGTGTGCCCCTGACTAGCGCGGTTTCCCTAAAGAGCTGATGACTCATTGAGTGAGTGAGAAATCTGCCACTTCACAATAAGGTTTGAGGTTCGTTGGTTGAAGGATTTTCCATCAGATAACTACGACAGTTGGTCCATCTGCTTGAACTGCATTGGTTGTTAAAACAGTTCCCAGAATTCCTTGAACTACTACGATCGTGATTGTAACTGTAAGCACAATATTAATCGTCGTCTTTGGGTCAGTTGACTTAGCACTTTGTTTTTTATAACCTTTTATATCACTTAGACAAACATTTATTTATAATCCTTCAGTTACCTTGTCAAAGAAACAACTTTTTTTACTAGTCACTGGAAACAGGAATATATGTTTGGTCACATATACAGTATTATTATGATAATGGAAAATCCTAAATCCTTAATAGTGAAGTATTTCATTTTCACAGTTTTTTCAGCTGACGTGATCAAATATTAGAGACAGCATTATTATAGTTCTAAAGTGTCATTTAACGGTTTGAAAATCACAAGACACATTTACAAAATCCATCCATCCATCTATCCATCTATCTATCCATCCATCCATCCATCCTTCTATCCATCCATCCATCCATCCATCTATCTATCTATCCATCCATCCATCCATCTTTCTATCCATCCATCCATCCATCCATCTATCTATCTATCCATCCATCCATCCATCTATCTATCTATCCATCCATCCATCCATCTATCTATCTAACCATCTGTCCATCCATCTATCCATCCATCATCCATCCATCTATCTATCAATCCATCCATCCATCTATCATCCATCTGTCCATCCATCCATCCATCCATCTATCTATCAATCTATTCATCCATCCATCCATCCATCCATCTATCCATCCATCCATCCATCCATCCATCATCCATCCATCCATCCATCTAATTCACCTTTCTATATTTTCAAGCACAGCACTAACTTCACCCACCAGTCTGAATGTCCACACTGAAATATCCCAATTGATTATAATTGCAGTTCTTGAAAAGAAAAAAAAAAGCCCTTGAAAATCCTTCTAAAGTACATTTTTTCCCTTCCCTAATACGACAGGCTTTGTAGATATGATAGGAGCACGAGGATGGAAGAGACGGTGACCACAGATGAACCCCCGCGCACTGAGCAAACAGAATCCACTCCTGCTGCTTCAGAGGAAAATAAGGTGAGTTTTCACCGCGGTGGATCCAAAAAATGTCACATGTTTTCCATCATTTACCAAGCTAAAATATAAAAGTCATGCCTGTGGACTGTTTGGAAAGATAATATTTTTGACCAATGCTCATAATTTCTGTAATATTTCATCCATGCACTCACTCAATTCCACATCTCTTACTCATCCCAGACCTGGCTTTTGTCCTCCTGGGTCACAGCTTCGTGCTTTCTGGCCTGGCCTGTGTATATTATCATTCATATCAGTTGTGTGCAGGTGCAAATCTCTGGCTGATGCAGTCAAGATGTGATTACGTCACCGCGATCTTACACAGAGACTCGCGTTTAATGGGTGTATGTATACGTACCTGCTACTCTCCTGAACCGCCCCGGCGAGATGTGCACCGTGTGGTTTTCATTTAAAACTCGCCATGTGGTTAGCGTTGAACTTTGAACACACTCGGCTTTACTCCTCCTCCTCCTCCTCCTTTATCAGTACTCCCTCCAGACCTTTGACCTCTCGGTAGGATGTCTGCTGTTGTTGCAGCTGCCCCTTGTGTGATATAAGTCATGGCATAGTGAACACACACATGCTAATCAGAAGAGTATGTGTTTGCTGTAGCAACACGAACTACGAAAGGCTCCGTGAATCTTGAGTATTACTTGACACATGTGTTTCATTATTTCTTTTTTTTTGTTTTTTTTTTGGGGCCCTGAACAGACAACCAAGCTGGATTCCCATCGACGTTTACATATTCGTTGACAGTTTACAAGCCTGCAGTTTTTCTCCTTTTTTTTTGACACACAGTAATTAGACTAATTTATCAAAGGGACAATCCCTGTTTGCTACCACTGTAACTGTTGGTACATGAATGTGCAATTAAATCTGCGTTAAAAAAAAAAAATAAAGTGAGAAAAAAGGCAGTGTATTAAAAATAAAATTAAAAATAAAGTGAGAAAAAAGGCAGTGTTTTTCCATTTATGGGAAATGTTGGTCCTATTAGATGTAAAACACACATGTCAAACTAAGGCCCGGGGACCAAATCTGGCCCACAGTGTATTTATATTTGGCCCGCCAGATCATGTCAAATGTGTATTAGAGTTGGCCGGCCAGTATATGGGCCCTATATACTGGCAGGATTTGTAGTATTAGCAGTGTATGCGCTATGTTATAGCACATATATTTTGGGGTTTTTTTGTTGTTGTTGGCCTGTGAAAAAAAAATTACATTAAGAAGGAACATGAAAGGCTACAGATAAAGATATATAATTATATTTATATATTTATTTCTAAAACTAAGGTTTGTTTCCATATGAAAGAATTCCATATCTGGAGAGAAGGGAAACCATGCACAATTGCGGTCATTTTTTAAAATAAAAAATCAAGCTAGGCCCAGGAGACTTCCTCCGAGGGTTTAATTTTGGCCCGCTGTGAATTAGAGTTTGACACCCCCCTGATATAAAACACATGTTATGTGAGTTGTATGACGTAGTCAAGTACAGCTAAAGCATTACCTGTTTTGCTAGCAGGCTTAACTTGTCCTTGTAAATATAATGTCTGCTAATAAAAATGTTCTCCCCTTCACACTCTCCACATCAGCCTCCCAGGCTCCTGTCTGATGATAAGAACAGAGACGCCTCTCCTCCTCCTCCTCCTCCTCCTCCTCTCTCTCCCTCCTCGCAGCCTGCCTCACTGCAGCGCCAAGACTCAGGGCCCCAGGGCATCAAGGGAATCCTAAAGAAGAGCCGCTCCACCAGCGTGGAGTCGGACCACAGCGAAGGCTCGACGCCTGACTTCACGCCAGTCCGGCAAAGCAGCGTCACTCTCAGCCACCCGGAGAGCGACGAAGAGACGCAAGAAGTGGACGACGACGACGACGTCGACGGAGAGGAGGAGGAGGAGGAGGATGACATGGATGATGAGGAATACGAGGAACACTACGAGGAGGATGAGTCCTTAACCGAGGATGTCAAGGACGGCGGGGGTTCCAGTAACCACAGTCAGCAGAGAGAGGGCAGCAGCTGTAGTGGTGGCAGCTTTGAAGAAATGCAAAGCTTCTCGCCGGATGAGAGTTTTGAGAAGACCTCTTCGGTCTCTGAGGATTTCGAGGAGCTTGAGAGCAGTTTGGATGGAAGTCAGGACTCTTCATTGAAACAGAGGTCATTACAGGAACACATCACACTTTACTGAGACATATAAGGCCCAAGTGTGTACAATTCCATTTTGGATGGATGTAGTATTGTAGTACGTATTACAAGAGGCCAGAAGAAGAGTGATTAGAAGAACTTTGGAACTCACTTTTAAAAAAGCAAGTGGTCCTTTATTAGAAAATATGTGGCGGTATTGACGGAGTATAAAACATGTTTGGGTGCCTTCGCACTCACAGTTCATGAAATCTTTATATAATCCACAGCTTTATTTCCATCAGCTACAGCATTGATAATCAATTCATAGACTCAGTTAGAAGAAACTAGATGATGTAAAGCAGGGGTCCCAAACCTATGGTCCGGGGGCCAGTGACAGTCCATATGTCATTTGGTATTGGGCCGCATCGGGACACTGTGGAAAAAAATGTACTTCAGTTTTACTAATTTACTTCATTTAAAAAAAAAGAAAAAAAAACAGTCATATCCCTTTACTTTTTTCATTAGAGTATAAGCAGACAATGTCTCAAATTAGAAAGATAAATAGATCAATCAGACTGTGATACTAACAGAATTAGGTCTAATAGATTTGAAGATTTAATGATCCTTACGTTAAGCACAAATGAATAGAACTGCGATGTTGTCTTCCAGTTAACTAACATTTGACGTCGCAAAAATAAAAATAAACAACAAATATTACTGGGTTTTTTTTTCTTTCTTTTTTTAGATTGGTGGAGTTTACTGGTCGAGAACATGAGAAAAAAGAGCGTCTGAAAAAGACCCCGCCGACTCAGCTGATCCAGACATCCCTGACAGATCGTCTCAGCCTGCTCCAAGGTTCTGAAAATGCGTGGAAGAAAAAAGTGAGTAAAGATTTGCTCAGGCTCTTCTCGCAAGTAGTTGGGTTAAGTTGATAAGTTCCATATCCACACGTTGTTTGTTTTTTTGTTTGTTTGTTTTTTTTTTAAACATTTAAGCAATCTTATTGTCAACGTCAATTAATTGTGTTCGAGTTTGGGGTTTGCTACACTGACATTGGCTTTTAATAAGCGACCTCTGCCATATGTTGGGTTTCCCCTTCAACTTTGTTTGCTGGGGAAAAGATTTGACAGTAGACACATTTCTCCTCCAGCTGAATCAGCTTATTTTCCACGAGTTGCTGCCAAGAGGGTGTGAGTTAAGGAGGGCTTGGGGTTTCAACGGATTTGGAAGTGGTGATGCTAAAACCAGCGACTGAACTAGCCTCGGAGAAAGAGAGAGAGAAAAAAAAAAGGAAAAAAAAAGGAGAGAGACACACCCTGTTTTATTTTTCTTGTGTCAAAAGTGGGGCGGGAAAAAGTCTCACAGCATTGCTGAACACCTGCAACAACATCGTAGCTACTCCGTGGTTTATTGTTTTACGACCATTCTTTAGAAAATCAAGACAGCAAACGCTTCCACAAACAGTCTTTTCTCTTAAAAGAAGGGTTTATGTCTGTGTCCGCCGGCACCGTCAGAGGCCGAGCAGCTCTTTACAATTCGAGTGGGACTGCGGGGGAGGAGGAGGAGGAGGGGTCGGTGATAAATTACACACACCTGTAAAGTGAGTGGAGGCAAAGTCAAACATAGGAAGCTAGAAGGCGAGCAGAGCAGTGAGAAGTCACGTCACCTAGAATATGTTGGATATAGAAATGTTTAAGAAGAAAAAAAACGTACTTTTTGAGTACTATAGTTTTAATTTATTAAAAAAAATAATTTATTTTTCAAAAATTATCAAGTATGATTTCAGTGCAATTTCTCATTAGAAATAAATACTACTCCAACATACTGAGTCAGATAAAAATTCTACGATGCCGTGTAGGAATTGATTACCGTTACGTACAATTTCGAAATGTTTCTGGTCCTGAATTACCTTTAGTTTAAATGCAGCACTGTTACATCTGATCGATTGTAGCTGTGCGAGATTAATGTCTCAGCCTATTGCTTTGTCTTAGCCACAATCCCACTCAATAAATTATACTAAAGTGGCTCTGATTGGCGCTGAACACTGAAATGCTACATAAGAAGTGGATGCTGCCGTGCGGGTAAAAAGTCAGATAATAGTGTTCTTATAGTGGGTTTTTGGTAATATTTTTGAGCCTGTAGCTTCATCGGCTTCTCAGGAATTTTTGGTAATAGTTTTGAGCCTGTAGCTTCATCGGCTTCTGCTAAAAGTCTGTCTGTCGTATAAATGTGGAATTAAACGTAGATACAAATAAACAAGAAACAAATAAGGAGGAGTAATACGACTAGCATGCAATTGAAAGCCCGGTGATTTATTAGTGGCCTGGCAGTGTTAATGACACGCAGACGCTCTGCCGTTTATTCTCTCTAACTATAATTGACTATAAGTCCATTCTACTTCTTTTTTTAGAGAGTGACCGATCATGAGCTGGTGTTGGCAAAATAGGACTTCTATTTTGTACCGTAATTCTTTCCTAAACTCAATAACAACCCCAGTATGGACACTAAAGTCAACAGATAACAACACTGCAGAACATAAGTATGCTGTGACATCAGTGGGCCATCAAGGTCAGAAATGATGTCATGAATATTTGGGATGGATGGATGGATGGATAGATAGATGGATGGATAGATGGATGGATGGAT